GTTCACAGGCAAGAATAACCTTCTCTTTGTATAAATTTTGATAAGATTGTTTTAAATGAATATTCTATACTAGATCATGAATATATAATCGTGAAAACAACTTAGTTAATTGGCGAAAAAAAGATTTCTAATTGGAACCAATATTTTTGATAGAATACCTATTGAGATTTTTCAATATTTGAAAAAAGCGAAATGTTCTACTTTGAGCACAATCATTCAAATATATGGGACTCTATCTTACGTCAGWGGGATGGAACGGCTACATGTATAGATGCCGTCCATGGCAACCAAATTCACTGGTGACATATATAAAATTTTCAATTCCTTTCAATGAGTAGAGTCAATTGCATTGGGACAAATACAGTGAAACYTCGTTAGTCCGGTCATCGAAGAGACCGGGCATAAAAGCACAAGGGTTTAATTCGCCGGGACATAAAGATCTGACCGTTATAACTGAATACAAGTGCCCGCATTAGGCGGGTATCCGTTAGGTGGGCCTCCACATTTCATATAAGTATTGCACAGGGATCATCTTTTTCACCAGCCGTTTTCATTTCCTCTCATTTTCCTTTTTTTCTGCAGTTTTTGTGGATAGTAAATGGACTTGCAGTGATTGTGCAGTTCAGTACAGAGCAATAGGCTGCTATCAAGACCATTTTAAAAGACCTCTGCCCTTCGAAATTCTGAATGAACGAGACGTCACTAGTAAAGTCTATGGAGGAAGGAGGATCGACTGGAATAACTGGAATTCCTACATGCCACAATTTGCCTGCAGATGTGCACAGCTTGCTAAAGCGAAAGGGTACACTATATTTGGACTACAATTTTTCGGTAAGGAAATTTGACACTTAAGAAAGTAACCTTTTTCTTAAAGTAGGAATTGCTCGTTTTAATCAAAAGACAAAAGAACGGCGGMCATGTTGGATTAAGAACACTAGATACTAATATGAAAAATCATTTGTTGAAGTTTGACCAAAATGGACGCTGTGACGTATATTGCAAACGAAGACGGTGCGGAAACTGATCGCCACCAAAAATCGGACGACAAAGAAATCGAATCTTTCGAGAAAATAGTCCGCTGAAACTAAAATCTAAAYAATATATCATAAATTTAATAATAATCTCTTTTTTAGTCTAGTCTTTTAATCTAGCCTTTAGATTTTTGTTTTGTTCGGGTTTATTGGATATTAAGACGCGGTGGATGTTTTTGAACGTATGGCCAAGGTTACTGATGCACTAAACGAACATTGATCGATGCAAATGCCCTATTTCATTATGACGTCACATCAAAACATTYTATTGTTTTAATGCTAATGATTATTTCGCCAGACGGGATCAGAGGGACTTCATATCAAATAAAAATGTACATGAGCAATCGATACATGATAAAATTGAAGTTCTACTTTCGGAGAGAATATAAATGTTTGCAAATGTCCACTGCTTTTCAGCATGTTTCCCGGATGTAAACATACTGTGACGTCATAATGAAATAGGGCAATTCGTCTCATGAAATAATAGCTCAAATTAGACGTCACAACAGTGATTGCAACCACGATTGTACGGATGACTTAGGACGGTGTTTTTGCATGAACTGGTTTTAATTAAAATATTTCTGTTTGATTCGGACTTAAACTGCTAGTCTTACATAAGTAAAGCAATCCTTGAAAATTGTACTTCATGAAACAACGACAACAACAACAACAAACGCAAAAAATAATCAACTGCTTAACGCTTGTGTTGATACGCAACCGAGGAAGACTTTTTAGAAAGCACATGTGACGTCATGGCAATGGCGGGCGAAACGCTTTGACTGAAAACAGTTCGTTAACTGAAGTCATTTTTGAAGTCATTTACGTGAGAGAAGGCTATTAAACCATATACAACTATGACATGACCTGTGGCACTGTACAACGATTTCCCAATTTTCTCAAATTTCAGGAGAATGCTGGAGTGGCCCTACTTTAGATTACAAATCCGTTGGAGAAGCAACGAATGGATATGATTGCCTAGGACCAGATTATAAACCMTGCTCCGTATGGGACCGGCATTGCATTGGAACACAAGAAATGAACTATATTTACGAAATCGGTAAATGTAAAAAAACAATTGTTTAGCAATCATTCTTAATTTACTCATTATATAACATTTTGTATTCACAATTGATTAATCGTTCTCAATACTCGAATCTAAAAGAATACAATATTCCTAACCCTTTTCAAACATGTTCTGAAAAACAGACATTGTTTATTGACCTCAGGCCCTTATCTCCAAASGAAGAAATAAGGGCCTGGCGACGAGGATGATACAAACCCTTATTAATAACATTTATTAATTGTCAATGCTTCGGTGATTATTAATTGATTTATCTTTTAATAATGACTATCAATCAAGCTATACTCTGTCTTTATCGTAGTTCCTGACTGCGACATACCATTGGAAACGGTCGGTTGTTATAAAGACAGTCACACGAAAAATTCCCGACCACTGCCATTGTATCCTTTGACTGATCGAGACAATACAATAAAGACCTTTTCTGGTAGATCAATTGATTGGAGGAACTGGGACACCTACATGCCAGAGTTCGCCTGTCGCTGTGCGCATAAAGCAAAGGAGATGGGAAAAACAACATTTGGTGTTCAATATTATGGTAGGTTTGATAGGCAGCCATGAAATATTAACCCTTCCTGCACTATTATCCCATCTTCCCCTTCGCTCTTTCCCTCTGATGATATCAACAACTTTTGAGACAACACAACGCTAAACGTTTCCAGACTCGTACCCTGTCGATTCTCTCGGTTTTGGGCGGCGCGCAATGCATGGATCTTCAAGGGTAGGAGAAGAAAAAGATAATTAATGACTGGGTACAAGTCTGAAAAGTTTCTATCAATGAACAATAAACTTCTCTCAAAAGGTGAATGCTGGACCGCTGATGACAGTGATGTCTCGTACGGAAAAGATGGAACTTCAGGAAACTGCATTGATCAGTGCTACGAGAGCTGTAAGCCATACAGCAGATACTGCTCTGGGAAACAGTTTGCAAACTTTGTTTATCGGCTTGCAGGTAATATTTATGAAAAKGACTATAAGCCTTATCACTAGGCTGTTTCGGGTTTATTTTGGCGAACAGCAAACCGTGGCATGTTATTGTGACGATTTCCAGTCAACCACAGCTTTCTGAGCCTGCAACCAAAATCTTTGATATGATAAACAAGCTAAGAAAAATAAAAGTATGRAAAAATGGAATATTATGAGTACATGATGTTGATAATTGTGGAAGTTTCGGCGTTTTCGGCTTAAAGGGCTATCGGTCGTTATCGTCACTCTTCAATTCTTATTGTGTGTGATTTCTAGATGAATAATCTTGAAAAGCAGCTCAGCGAGAGTTGCCGTCCAACTAGCATCTTCCCTAAGCTAACAATCATTATGTATTTAGAAAGCCCATGTGAATGGAAAACAACTCCAGTTGGCTGTTACAAAGAAGACACCTCATCACGAGCCCTGTCTATTGAACTGCTGGATGAGCGCGGACCACTTTCAAAGTCGAGCGCTTTCCATGGAAACATATTCGATCCCAAAAAGTGGAGTTCTGAATTCCCTAAGCTTCTTTGCAGATGCGCTCGCATAGCTAAGGACCGCGGACTCTCGACATTTGGAGTACACGACACTGGTAAGACAAACGTTCGACATGACTGTCTGTCGATTGACTCATTGATTGATTGACAAGTTGATTGACTGATCTAGCTGACTGACTGGATGATTGGATGATCGACAATATTTCAAAAAACGCGGATATATGAAGCCATTACTCGATCTYTCTCCGACTTGAGAACCACATATCTGTTCGTCTAGCATGAGATATATCATTTTWAAAATCTGTTTGAATAGGGACATGCTGGGGCTCTAAAGATGGCGAAGGGTACAAGAAGTATGGCAAGTCTTCCGAGTGCCTCAAAGGYGAAAAAGAAAATTGTCCGTCTGAATCAGAGAATTGCGCTGGTGGCAAGAAATCAATTTTTGTTTACAAAGTCAGCGAGAATGGTAAGGGCTCAGTCTGGACAAAAACTCAATACTCCATTTTCGAATTCAAAGCGAATAACCGCTGTTTTATTTGATAGCAGATTCAGTCTTACGCAAAGAACTTACCAAACACAAAAGAAAGCACGAGAAAATGTTGACTGTACAATAGCGCTTACAATTTACATTTTCCCCGAGTTGAGGCTAACCCTGTATTCCCAGAAGGCTCATACCTTAGGTCTCATAGGAATATAGGGTTAGTCTCAACTCTCAACTCAAAATGCAAATTTTCAAGTCTATTGTAATAACGACATTTCTCGTGCTCTCTTTTGTGTTCGTAAGGTCTTTGAGCAAGAGAATCTGTTGTCAAATAAAGCAGCGGTTTTGCGGTATGAATTCGAAACTGGAGTATTGAATAAGCTGTGGCGGCGTCAGGCCCAAAAATTTATTTTTAGCCTTGGATTAGTATCACGAAAAAAAAACCGTACTATAGACTTTATTTCTACACAGCAAGGAAGATATCTTATCTTTTATCATTTTTAATTGATTATATTCCAGGCAAGAAAAAGAGATCTTTCAATCCTAAGCTCACCAAGAAGTCCTTTGATGATGTTCTTGATGACGTTGTTAACGCGTAAAACGTCGAACTCAACGAAGTAGATAGTCCTGGTCTGTGAACCAGTGTCGAACATTGTAAAGACGCACACAGCATTGTCTTCAAACCTCTGCTTATAACGGTTTAATTAGAGAAAGTGATGTAAATTTTCCATAAAGGAATATATTAAAAGAACATTAAAGTGACTCTCTTTATTCGCGATCGGAGAGGGGAGAGTGGAGCGGGGACTATACTTTACGATCACATAGGAACAGCCGGGGACTCAAAACCATAGATACCAGAGTTAATAGAGGGGAACTCAGCAGTAAACTATTCCTTACCTGGAGAGTTCTTTTTTCCTGAATTTCTCGCTGGCAACCAGTTGTGACTTTAAACAGCTGGCTGGGACATAAGAACAGATATATTTATCCAGGAACCCGTGKGCTACTCCTAAAGTTATGGATCGACAAGTGCAAAAGTACGGGCAGAAGAGAACAGCTTCAAGGGGAGCTATAGTGGCGGAAATGTTTTGAAACACAATATGAGTCTTTAAAACTATTTATTGTTTTTCTCTAAAATACGACGCCTTCAATTTCACTTTGATCTTCATTTTCCGAGAACAGTCCTTGCGTATAGTCCAAGGAAATTAAGGAATTTTATAAAATCACATCTGACTCAAACAGTGAAATGCGTAATAAATGTTGCGTTGAGTTCATGAAATGACTTTTTTGTTTTAATTTAGTTTTCTGTTAAGAACTCCTCTTTCCAAGGTGCCGTCAGTGTTAAAAAATTTGACCAGCATGCTTTGTGCGCTGCTGGTCAACTGCGCACGAGATTTTTCCTTTCTACGAAGCGTGACAAAATGTGCGTGACACATTGATGCGTGACTAAAGTCCACAGTTCATTTCGCACATACATGCTGCGATTATCGAAGTCAGAGAGCGAAAAATAGATTGTTTAGATTGTTTATATGAGTTTAGGCGAAGTAACTGGAACCCCCATCACTTMAAGCATGTTTACTAGCGTTTGTACTAAGTCGTGATATAAAATGCTAGTTAGGGATTAAAAWCATAGACGTCAAACAATTGAAAAGTCGGTGAAGTGATCCCGGTATTCTCGAAACAACACCACGGAACGCATGTCAATTTGATTTGAAGTTACAGTACTTTGAATAGAAAAACTTTTATAGAACTTTGAATGCAGGTAAGTTTATATGTTAATATTCGTTTATCCAAAACGGGTGCAATTTTCTGTTTATCAGTTCTGACTTTCGTGTGAAATTATTTCTTAAGTGTACGCTGAAACCGACGGCCCAATTCAATATAGCGAGAACTTTCTCAAACCAAATCTCTCTAATACTTTGAATCTATAAATGTTTAATGCWGGAAGGTAGCATAAACTTTTCTTAAGTTAAATCTAAATAATTATACTGATATAATATCGGCTAATCCATTTTTTGACATTAAATGTAGAACACTCGTTAAATTTTGAATTTGTATGAGCAATTTGCTAATATTCATAACTATATTTTTAATATGTTATTCATAAAAACGTGTATGTTTTCATGCAGGTAAAATGAAGTATACTTGGCTTTATTATTTAAGATGTTTTACTATTGTGCAATCCATTGTAAACTTTATAATCGGATATTTCTATTATCAGAAGCTGTAATTAGTTCTATGTTTGTTGGTCATTTTAGGCTTACGTTAAAAATATGATATTTCGGTTCGCCTGATAATGAATTATAGATCATTTTTTTACCAGTATAAAGTTTGAAATATCGTGTTTTCTTGTAAATTCCAAATTATTTCTTGTAATGTAAACAAAAGCGCATGTTTTGACGCGACGAGATAACATAATTCAGTCGTTTAGTAAAATAACCAACATAGAGTACATTAGAATAACAAGATAAAACTATTGTATAAAGAATCGATACTATCGGAAATACAATTACTAATTATCATTGTTGTAGTTGTTRTTTTAAAGATATTTTAAGTTGCTAGTAGATATTTGTTCTTAAAAAAATCCGTTAACAACCATTTTCTTATCGGACTTTAATTATTGCATATCTAAGCTTTGCATATCTAAGCTCACAACAATAACACAATAACAATTTTATATTGTAGTACAAAAAAGGATGGAAACTTCTATGATTTACTTAATAACTAGAGGATGTACACACCAAGGCAACTATTTGATTGATKGCCAGTGTACAGATACACAACCCCTCAGCATTCAACATCACAAACTTTCTGAATAACATGGGGCAAGTTATTGAGACTGCTAACTCTGCCAAGACTGATCAGGGAACATAYGAAGAGAAAAAACATACAGCTGTCAATGGCATTTCAGAACAACTAAAGGTCCATGCCACATCAATGGAATTAATAGATGATGTGGAAACTTTATATTCTGACAAAAGAATTACAGGTATATTAAAGAGTTTCTGAGATACTCATTCTTTATGCCCAAATAATCCCATCTGTCTGGAATTGTCCAAATCTTGTTAATATATTATTAATCATGTTCATATATGAGGCTATGAAGTATACATCTACTGCTCTTCCATGAACTACGAATTTCCTGTTCATTTTTTATAATGATGCATGTAATGGAATTATTTTCTGCTTATCAAATATGCACACCATTTTTGTAGTGACTGACTTATTAGATATTTTGGTTCCATGAGTATGCATAAAAGAAATGACAGACAGCGCTGTGGGGAGATAAAAGAATATATTAAGTATTTAAACTGTTATTTCCTGGAGGCTCATCTGAAATTCTTTGGTAGCAATTGTTACTCATCCAAAATATCTACACTCAAATATTATTTTTCACTTTCTTCATATTATATATCCTTCATTTTTTGTGGCATCCATTCATCCCTTTTCCATCCATCCCATTATCCATCTATTCATACAGTCAGGAAGAAAAGTCAAACATATGGTAAAAAAAGTATCAATAGTCCACAAAGTGACAGAACCCCTCAAGTCTTCCTTTGAATAATGTCTTTTTATGCATCCTTTCCTTTTTTTTCTTCATTCATCCATTCTTTGATTTCTCCCTTTCTATCATTCAATGAATTTCTTTATGCTATCATCAGTAGATGAGCCAGCTAATGGCCCATATGAAAATTCCAATCAAAGTAACACAAGACAAGCAGAGGAAATTATTGAGAGTAATATGTCCTATGAAAATGAAGAGTATCTTTGTACTGGGGAAACATTAGATGAGAAACCGACTGTTCCAARTAGCAATAAGTATGTAACAGAAAATACCTATTAGATTCAATTTCGTATGACTGGGAAATGGATGGTACCGTAATCATACTGTAACCAAATTCTAGTGTCTCATTGCTTCACAAAAATAGTGCAGGCCAGGTCTGGTAACTGTGCGGTAACCATGCGGTAATTTCTACCGTACATCTCCCACTCATACGAAATKGACTGTATCTTTTGAAGTATATTTACTTATTTTCTGCTGAAATCCTTTTCCCTATAGTAATGTTGGAGTGTCTTTTGAGTGACATCCCACTGGCAGATCAACAACATTGATCTGGGAAGGGGGTAATGCATATCTGGTATTGGAATTAGGGACATTGTATTAGTAAGTGTATAAAGGAAAATTGACAGCAATTTTGATAATTGAAAAGTTGGATTCATTTCAAAACATTTTCATAATCAAAGCTAAGACCAAAGGGTATTGTGGGAAGACATTTATACAAACTGTGTGTGGGAATCCAGATAGAAGTTAGTGTGTTAATGATATTGTTGACATTGTTTAATATATGTAACTATTAAATTAAATGCATTCTTCTTCTTCCTGGTTAGCCTTGATGTTGACTCTAGAAAAGATGAAAATGATGAGCAAGGAGAGAAGGAATTACAACATTCAATGGATTGGTCTGAAAAAAAGAGACAGTTCAGTTTGATGAAATACCAGTATTCGGAAAGTAGTTTAAGCTCAGAAGTGTCATCAGCTAGCCGGTATATCTTTAACAATGAAAGATTTCTTATAAGCAAACAACTGATTCATGCTGATATCATGGATACCAAGTTGTGAACCAGTATCTTTAGAAATCCAGGGTCTAGTAACTAGGGTTTTTYTWRRWTKKTTKRMMAAAAAATAGTTCAAAAAAATAGTTTTGAAGGCCCGAAAGTGTCTGGCTGGATTTCAAGGATGTAGGTTTCTGTCAATTGATTCCTCATGTACGTATAGTTGTCAAGCAACACTGTGCTTGGCAAGGATTGTGTTTGCTACCTTTCAATCCACAATCACATGGTTGCTAGGGTAATGTCTTTATTACCATGGTAACCCTGTCGTTATAACAAGACGACGTTGTTGTTTCATTTCACCAATTATATAAGACTATGATTAAAATTATATTTTTGACTTCCTGATATCTTGTACTGAGTGAGATTTCACGTTAACCGCATTCGTTTTTTGAACTGTGTTCTATCTTTCCAGGCACAGCTTCTCATTATACCTTCAAGCAAGAGAATATGATGCAGAAGAAGTCCTGGTAGGATTAGGGTTTGGCTTCGAGGGGCCAACGGATATCCCAGTACGGTTTTTGAATAGTAACAGTTATAATATAATTTCATCCCAAACGGATTCTACAAACAGCTATCATGGCTTACTTCAAAGAGTGGAAAGTGAGAGGCCAGAATTAGATGAAGTCTCATCTCGCACGGTACGTTTTATCATAGCTTGTTTTGCCACGTCGTTGCCTTTCAAGTTTGAAAAAAAAAWGTTCATTCAGCGAAACAAGAACATTTGTTGCATGTTGGGAAAACTTAGTAAAAAAACTCGTGATTATATTTCTCCACAYTGTTATTTTCATGGAGTTGTAAATATTATCTCCTCTTTTGAAGTTATRACAACTCCTTGAAAATAGCAGAGGGCATTCAGCGCGCGTTATTTGGCAACTTGAAACAAATGTTGCGTTGCAAATAGGGCGATGAACCTGAAAAAATGAGGAGAACCGATGTTTTCAAACTTTAACTGACCGCARCAACAATGTTGCAAAGGTGGACGTTTTTAGTTTTGTATTACGCCTCGTTCATTGTTTTAAGTTTGGGCTCGCGTTTTGGGAAGATGAAAACAGAGTGTTTTCTAAAAAAAACTCCAATTCAAAGTGTTTYAATTGTTTGTTCACAGTCTTTTGAGTCTTCTTGGTCAAACAGTTCTATGGATAGACTTCCGAGTCGGTTTTCGTCATCTATAAGTCGTCTAAKTTCTGTATCCAGTTTGATAAGTGAACCGGACGATAACGAGAACCAATCAGTAATGATCCCTTCAATCATGGAGCCCGAAAAAGAGAAAGAGCACGATGATGGCTTTGACCTTATGAGACACCTCCGGCTTAACCGTGGACACCACGAAAAGGGATTTCTGGAGCCCGTGACAGAGGAACTTGAGGTTTCGTCTGTTGGAAGTGATTCGTCACGCACTAAAATTTCTGCTCCTCAACAAGACTCATTTGATTCAGTTGGAAATGTTTCTATTGTCACCAAAATATTAGTACAAAAAGACGATTCACCAGTTGATTTAAGACATCAAAAAGAAAGCGAACTTACTGCTAGTTTAACTAAAGTAAATACATATAATGATTCGTCCAACGAAAGTCTGATTGAAAGTACAAAAAAAGTCGTTATTGTACAAAGTAGTGTACAAGAAGCTTCTGTTGACAACCTGCATTTACCTTCATTGAACAATTCCTTCGCATCGCGATATACTCAAGAGTCGTTTGAACTGGAAGAGATAGCAACRAGTGAGGAAAATCTCGATARAATCGAAGAAAATACATCGACCATGAACATTAGACCAAGAAACCGTTTGAAACGGGATCATAGTGATGACAGTAGTGGTTTTGAGGACGATGGAGGTGATACCTCGAAGAAGTCTTCACCTGAAGCTTTTGATACCCTGAAAGAGAACCAAAGTGAAGCTTCTCATTCAAAGCAACATAACACACACCTTCTTGTCCCTGTTGAGGTTTCCACTCCAAAGAACGAATCATCAATAAGACGATCAACATTTGCGAAAAGACGCTCATGGTCAGCAACTAAGCAAAAACGTGTCGTATTTGAAGAYGAAGCCTCTTTGAAGAGTCGATCGTTTGAAGATTTTCGWGCTGATGCTACTTTAAGTAAAGGTGACTTTAGAAGTCGTTCTCTTGATATACCCTTGCCTCTTTCAAACAGACTTTCGGATGYTTCTAGAGAGGTGCAAGATAAAGGAAGTTCAGCAAGCAATTCSTTTGATATACCTRCAGCACGGTCAGTGAGTGCTTCTGATGAAGCTCGCACCGAATACTCCGCACTCGTCGTTAAAGATGAAAGCCAAAGTGATTCTACAGATGACAAAGATACTCTTACACAAAATAAGCCATTTTCCGAGAGCAGTGCTATACGCAATATCAAATATTTTATGTCGAATTTGTTATCTATTCGAAGCAAACTGAAAAAGAATCATATACCGTGTATGACTGAAAAATTACTTGATTTACCCAAATCAACAGAAACAGAGGTTTGCAATTTAGAGCAGCCTTCTATTGGAGCTGATGATGTCTCTGATTTACGTTCGTCTTTACGAGAAACGTCTGATCAAGGACAGCAGATTCGTGCAATGCCTTCGATAACAGTCACTTCATGTCAGGTATGTTAACTCTCTTCTCCGGCTTGTTGTTTTGAACAAGAGCCTCTTTTTTATCACCCTACTGCCCCACTCCCTACCCCTCCCCTAGAGCCACTACGCAGGCTGTAAGTAAAGGGGCTGGATAAAAGATTTTCATGAATAATTTGTGATATATATTAAAGGTGCTTTTATTTTCTGCAGAAGGCGAGTCATTACGAATTATCAACGTTTGAAGAAGATATTSAAAAGTATCGTTCAACGTTTATCGCAATGGAAGTGATTTCTACGGCACAGGATAGATACTACACGCGGAAGCTACAAGCAAGGYGAGTGACTATTTTTTYAATACYCCTATTAARCTTTCTGGTTGAAATCTTAAGCGTAACTAACTTGGGCTTCTAAGGAAGATTTCGCCGACGCTTGTCTTTTACGACCCGTTTCTCTTGAATCGAATGCGATACTCATTAAATATCCATCGAATTTTCACTTGCAGGTTTGCTTGGGATATTCTCTTTATTCGACGGCTACGCTCTCACATTATGGAAGAATTGGACGAGCTACGATCCAACCTTTGTTATGCTAGGGGATTACCGTTAGGTGCTCAAAGTCAAGTAAGTACTATGTTAGCCTAATACCCACGATCGTCCAGCGCTTTCCTTACCAGAATACGCTTCCTGAACCTATCTTTCTTGAATTGACTATTCTTAAAATTCTAGTAAAGGTGGGTATAGCTGGAATTTTAAAAATAGTCAATAATAATATCTTATTAACCGAGCGCGGGGGCCGTACAGGAAGTTATGGACCGAGTTTTTTTCCACTGACTTATGGCCAGAGCGCGTAGCGCGAGGGCCATAAAAAGTGGGAAAAAAAACGAGGTTCCATAATATGTACTGATTGACTGAGTGGGAGGGCCGTACGGGAAAATATTTGGCTCGAGGTTATGCCGTACGGACCGAGCGCAGCGAGGTCCGTACAAATGACCGAGAACCAAATATTTTCCCGTACGGCCCGACCTAACTCAGTCAATAAGCATTTTATCATATGACAGCATTTTTTAATGTAAAAACAATAAATAAAAGCGCGCGGAACTTCAAGCCGGGAAAATACGGGTTTGTACGGACCTGTCGCGAAAAGGCGTACGGACCCCATCACGTGACCATTTTCCAAAGGTTTCAGTGAGAGCGCGCGTAGGGCCGAAATACGGTCATATGATAACTTCCTTTACGGCTCGAGTAAGCGAGGTTAATAAGATATTTATTATATAGCATTTTCAGGGAAAAATAGTAAAATTAATAGAGAATAGGACATAAAAATACGTTTTTGTTCATACTTTTCTTGTCATTCAAAATAGAAAGAAAAAAAGCCTGAGAAACCTTGATGGCAAAATTTGGATTCATTTTTGACTCTTTTTTATACAGTATAACTACAAAAAGAGAGAAAGCGAGCCTTTTTAAAAAAATAAAACGTTTTTTTCTCGTTTCATCTGGTCTGTACAGGAAAGTATGGCCCGCTTTTTAGCCAATGAAATCGTGTGTTCATCCGAGCTATATAATAATGGATTCTATGCCACGAATTCAGTCACGCCTTAACATTTCTAAATTACTGGTAACTCTGTAAAACGGACACGTATACATTACTGCCACCTATCCATATTACGGACATATCTGTGTTGTGGACACGGCCTCTCTATTACGGACATGCTATCTTAGACACTTCTATATTCCGAACATGCCACTGATATTACGACCGTAGGTTAAGTACTCGACTCTGCATTGTAGAAGCTACATGCTTTTGTTAAAACATCCAGAGAACCTGGATGTTAAATGMATTTCTTTGCTTTTGTATCTAAGAAAGTATCAGCTTATATTGTTCTAYAGAAAGCTCATCGATGCAGAGATATAAGTAGCGTTTATTTGGAAAGAATTAGTTTTATGGGGTACAGCTAATTTGTAGAACCCTACTTTCATATGAACGGTCCACAAGACAGACCACAGGGAGCACAGGCTCTTTATCAGTGGTTCTTATGTAACCACCCCTCCCCCCTCCCCTCTATATTTTACCGTTATTTTACGATTTTGTATGATGCTATTGAATCGTGAATTTCTATAAACTCAACCAAATCGGCTGAAACTTCTCCAGGGGATTGTTGCATGCATCAATAACAGGATGTGRTWGTTGGTGTGATTTCGTCGCCATCCAAGTAAGAAATTCACGATTCAACAACATCATACAAAATCGTAAAATAACGGTAAAATATAGTGGGGAGGGGAGGGGTGGTTACATAAAGAGCCTGTGCTCCCTGTGGACAGACTARCTTTAATAGTTTTTAGCCTGTTCACCAAGGATTATTTYTCTTTATAGATGCATTCGTTGCTAAGACTGCAATCGGGACTTCGAGAGAATCTTTTGACTTTAGCTGGTTCTACAACAGACATGACCTTAAAAAGTCCGGAACCAAAGAACGCATTGCAGTCACTTAGTGTACAGCGATCT